TGCAGACGGGTCAGCGTCTCCACCACCTCATACAGACGGATGATATTTGGATGGTGCAGCGTTTCCATGCTTGATATCTCCCGGGACAGCAGCCTTTGGGTCTTCTGATCGAGCTTAGTTTTATCCAAGATCTTGATGGCTACTTTGTCTGTGAATGACAACAAAGTTTCAGTTACAGGAGTTTCTCGTTCAGAAAATATTCATATTCTTTTGTCTGAGGGACATATGCATTCCTACTAACTGTATATATGAACACACCACAACCTCCTATCCCTTACACACGGCAATCTTTGATGAGGCCTACAGCAATTCTAAAGGCCTCGACAGAAATGTGACACCTCATAATCAATCCGTGTGTGTCTGGACCAGACAAGTAGTCTCAGCTTGACTTTGACAGAGGGCATGCTTCCCACATTATCAATGTAAACTTGACTCTCAGGACACATATTCATCAAGACAATAACACTGAGAATAAAGCATACTTTACAGGGTGTCTGTGAGCTATAGGAATATCCCAGGATCATAAAATTCTACAGTGTCAGTGAGTTGCTCCAAAATAAATACATCAGTATTTTAGCTTCCTACTGTAGCTTGTGGGGAAAACCGCTCAGTAAAGTCAAAGAATATGTCCCATTACACATAATTCAGTTCAGAGGCTCTTAACTGACGCGTACCTTTCGTCAGAGCATGGATGCCCAGCTTAACATGGGAAAAGTTTCCACAACCGATCTCGCCACGAATCTTGTAGAAGCCGATGTGGCGGCCCAAGGTGAGCTCTCTCACCATCTTCTCATCTTGGCACATGTCCAGATTGAGCTTCTCCAGTGGGGTGAGGCGGCGTGGCTGGGTCCCCTCATCGTCCGTGCAGATGTCAGAGCTGTCTTGTCGGCTCCATCGGGCATAACGCTGGGGACCCGTGGCCACTTCTGAGACCCCAACGGAGCCCCCCCCAGCCGGGTACACAGCAGTCATCCTGCCACAGTCCACTGGGGTGCTTTGCTCATGGCAGGAGACCTGGAACTAAGGAACCACCTGAAGGCATTAAATGATACACAATTAGAGAACAACAGAGGAAAAGTTTAAGGAGAAAGATACATTTGCTTTTCTACCCCTTCTTTTTTTACCTCCGCCTATAAACACATCCATCATTTATCAAGGAGCAAATTATATAATATATGATAATAAAAATAGTAACATTCTGAATAATAATTACTATTTTAGTAATACTTAATCTTAAAATTGTTATATATATATATATATATATATATATATATATATATATATATATATATATATATATATATATGTGTGTGTGTGTGTGTGTGTGTGTGTGTGTGTGTGTGTGTGTGTGTATATATGTAAGTAGAAAATTATATTTACAATAATTTATTTAAAAAATATTATTCTTGATGTATATATATATATATACACACACACACACACACACATATTTATTCATATTAATTGTATACAAATATACATTTAATTATTATATACAATAATAAATTACTAAACCGCTACATAAACAATTTTTTATTAATAAAAATATACAACACAATTTATATTTCTAAATATTTTTAGTAATAAATAGTAATCATTTTATAAATGCACTTTAATAAAATAAAATTTCTTAAATTTTTTTAAAATAAATTTTCATTCCAAAAGCATTCAGACATGAATGGATAGTTCTTTCTCACCTTCACATGTTGTCCTGTACATCTGCGTCAATTTCCCAAATGAGATCATTATCGCCACATCTCAACTCAAGCTTATACACATATCTAAGTACAAAAGAGTAGATGTTTAGGGTCGTCTGCTTCACCCAAGCGGCCCGGTGCACAGTGCTGTTCTTTCCCCTCAGTCCTGCATCTCCCTGAACCTCATCAGATGTGCCTGATTTAATTGGTGCGTTGTCTCCGTGATAAAAAAAGGACTGCGGATCAGCATTGAGAACAATGAAGGCTGTGATTGTTGCCTGGCTGCTATAATAAGGCTCCACGTTGCTCTCGCTGGCCCTGGCTTCATGTACGGTGCTTTCTCTCATTTAACATCTTTGCCTGGTTGGTCATTCAGAAATGGGGGTCCCACATGGAAAACAACCACTCCCTCTCATTTGTTCACCTCGGTGTGTTTCTTTGGTGCTTCTGACTCACTCTACAGTCGTCTTTCTGGGATTAGCGTGTACAGAGATCCTAATCCATGCCTTTTTTTAGTAGCCCTTAAGTCTCCAATTTAAACATAGGGACTAAACTAATGGATTCCCATTTACCTGGTGAGAGAGAGAGAGAGAGACAAAGAATATATCAGTACCATGACACTGCCTTTATCCTGTCCTAAACTCACCTTTTCTTAAGGTAAGCCCTTTTTTTTTTTAGCTTGTCTAAACCAGGATGCAAATTTTGTGTGGCAAAATTTTATGCATTTGCAGTATTTATTAAATAATTTCAGTTACCGGTATTTACACAAGTATTTATAATTAAATCTGAACTAAATTAAATGTCTAACTGCAAATATGACTGAAATCATTATGAGCATTTGTGTGTGTTTCAGGATGCAATTAGGGTGAGTTTGCTGATGTAGTTCCTGTAACAATGTCCCAATAGAGCAGAATATAAGAACACAGAGTGCTGTCACCTCACTCTCTAGAGCCACGAGTGCTAACATCACACATAAAACAAGCACTACACGCCCATTACGCCACACTGGATTACAAATGAAATGATATACGAGGCAATAACAGAATATCAATTTACATATTCAAATGATCAATTTAATTCAAATGATTCCTGAATGATCATGTGACACTGAAGACTGGAGAAATGGCTGCTGAAAATTCAGCTTTGCCATTACAGTAATAAAGTTATTTAAAATTTTCATAATATTTCTATAATTATAATTGTATCTTACAGACCCCAAACTTTTGATTCAGAATGCATTTGTGTGTCAGGGACCCTTTTCTATCCATTTTCAGAAAGTGTAAAAATGTAGTTCATAACATTATACTTTTAGACTCTTTATGGTTTTTGCATGTTTTTTTTATTTGATCACAGAACAGTTGGTGTGTGTTGCACTAACTGAGGCAGTTTCTCCACACAGGACTGTTGAGTATTGCACCTTCACAGACACCTTTAGATGTGACAATGTGTTTTTTTGCGGGTGGAGGCGAGTGGTGAGGCTGATATAAGCTGCTGAGTTTGCTTTTCAACAGGGTTCTTTGAGGCAATAGACCCAAACTGTATTATTTTGTTTTAACTTTCGAGTATCAGCATTTTAGAATTATAGCTAACCCAATCAGATCTGTTGAAAGTGCTTTGGAGCAGATCATGTTAAAAACGTTTTAACACTTAAGTGATAAAACGTTTTGGAATAAAAAAAAGTGAGAAAACAATCCTATAGTTATGTATCTTTACATGTGCATGTGTATTGTACATTTCTCTACTTGTTTGTGTAACTGCCATAAAGGATCAGTGATTTGACAATCAAATGAAAACCCGAACAGTCTTATACGCAATCAGCAGATCTTTCCGAGAAGCAGATTTAATCCCCCTTCATTCACTCACACAAAACAAGAGCTTTATTCTACCGGCTTCAGCACTGAGCATTCAAAGACCACAGGTTTATACGCACAACAACATTTTATTTCAACTACCCTGACTGAGAAATACACTACCGTTCAAAAGTTTAGTCTGTAAGATTTAGTTGATTTAATTATTTATTTGCATTTATTTATTTATCTGCATTTATCTGAATACTTATCTGCATTTATTTGATCAATAATACAGTCAAATTTGTAATATTGTGAAATATTATTTTAATTAAAAATAACTTTTCTATTTTATTATATTTTTTAAATAAATTTATTCCTGATTTTTTTTCAGCATCACTACTCCAGTCTTCAGTGTCACATGATCTTTCAGAAATCATTATAATATGTTGATCTGCTGCTCAAGAAATATTTTATCACCACCACCAATGCCTAATATTTTTGTGAAAACCTTACATTCTGTGGATTCTTTGATGAATAGAAAATTCGATAGAATGGCATTTATTTGAAATGGATGGAAACTAATGTTTTTGGAAGCTAAAAAAAAATCTTGTTTTTTAATAAGATAGTTTTAGAAATGTTTTAACCATAGCTTACCTGAATACTGATTGATAAACTGATTGTTAAATAAATAGTTGGATAGTAGCAAGAACAAATAATCAGATGAAAATTTACATCTATCTGATGCAGATATTTGACCTTCATACTTCACACTAGACTGCCCTACTTCACACGCTCTATTTACCAAGGCACAGCACAAAAAAAATCAAAGTGATGTTTCTCATGAATACTCAAATCCCCAGGCTTCAAACACGTTCCTGCATGTGTTCTGCTGATTGCTGAAAGGGCTGCAAAGATTGACTGGCTGACAGAATTCTCTTTTAAAGTGTAAAGCAAGCAGGAATCCTAAAAAAGATCCTTTTCAAGTGCATGGATGTGCACGTGTCTGCATAACGATCTCACACTCTCACCTTTTTGCACCATCTTTCTGACCCTTAGAAATAAATCAGCTTATTTGATTAGTTTTTATTTTATTCATTTTTTTTGTTGTTGTTGTGCCTCTAAGTAAACACCCTCCTCTCATGTGAAATAATATACAGTGCTTGGCTTTGATTATTGGTTTTAACTGCTTCATTCCGCAATAAATATATATATATATATTTTAATTAAAGGGATTTAATCTCATGTCACATGTTTGGAACAACATGTGGGTGATTAAATGATGACAGAATTCACAGAACTATCTCTTTTAAAGTATTTTACATGGAAAGTCTTATTTTTAAACCCCCAACTTCAATATCAATTACTAAAAAAAGCATATAGCTCATCATTTAGCTCCTTTCTGGTACACAGCACCATTAGCATGAGTCTCATGGGCAAGATTTCGAATGTGGTATACTCACATCAACTGTGTGACTCTTTTCACACCCCATAGGACAGAAGCACTGACTAAGCATTAAGCATGGTCCACAGGGGCCATTTCTACTGATCCGGTCCTGATCTACACACAAGATAAACACTAAACACATGGGATATCAGTGGCCCCTGTAAGAAAAAGCCTTGCTGCCTGCATGTACAGGGTTCAGCTATAAATCCTCTGGCTCTAAAATGCAGGCACTCATTCTATAGGAAGTAGAATTAAGTAAATTAATTCTTAATTGCTCATTTTCCTCATACATACAAATATGCCTACTTACCTACTATAATATAGTAGGCAAAAAGCAGTATGTGAAAGGAGTTCTAAATCCGAATGCATAGTTTTCATATAATATTTGACAAAAAGTACCAGGATGACCTTCTACTTCTAGCGAGATTCTGAAATGCGCATTCGCTGGACACTTTACTATCCCAAGAGGCCACAGAAGAGGTGTTGACGCAACTGACACATGACAATGACAACATAATAAATTATACATCCAGATTAGATTCATAATATATACAGCTGCATCTCAATACATTAGAATGCCGTGGAAAAGTTCATTTATTTCAGTAATTCAACTCAAATTGTGAAACTCGTGTATTAAATACATTCAATGCACACAGACTGAAGTAGTTTAAGTCTTTGGTTCTTTTAATTGTGATGATTTTGGCTCACATTTAACAAAAACCCACCAATTCACTATCTCAACAAATTAGAATATGGTGACATGCCAATCAGCTAATCAACTCAAAACACCTGCAAAGGTTTCCTGAGCCTTCAAAATGGTCTCTCAGTTTGGCTCCCTAGGCTACACAATCATGGGGAAAACTGCGGATCTGACAGTTGTCCAGAAGACAATCATTGACACCCACTATTTCGATAAATGGCACGTCATTCCTAACCTGTATTAATTTTTTTTTTCTTCCGTTGAACACAAAAGAAGACATTTTAACGAATGTGACCGCCATAGTATTTTTTCCACACTATTGAAGTCAATGGCTACTTTGAAGTGTTTGGATACCCACATTCTTCAAAATATCTTCTGTGTTTAGCAGAAGAAAGAAACTCACACAGGTTTGGAACAACTTGGGGGTGAGTAAACAATGACAGTATTTTAATTTTTGGGTGAACGATCACTTTAAATGACATATGTATTATTAAATTAAAAATAAAATTAAATCAAATACAAAGATGTGGGGATGACAATAATAAACATTTTGAAGGGGCTCTACTCTACATGATGAAATGATTAACTGGTTACTGTCGCTTTCTCAATAATACTATTAATTCTACATAGCACGAATAAGCAAAATAAAACTGAAACTGCCATATGGCTTAGTGTGATTATCAAATTGCATTTAAATAAATAAATTTATTTTCAGTTTTTGGGAACGCAATAGACCGCAACCATCTTCCCAAACTTGAAATGATAACGCTTATAAACCCGTTGTTGTCAACAAAAGAGAACAAGCCTGAAGTATTGTCAAAAATGAAGCTTGATGCTTTGGCGTTTGAAAATGATACACATACATATATGCGCATATATTATATATATATATATATAGATAGATAGTTATATTTAAGAGTACAATTGTAAAATCTATCTTGTTCTTAAATACTGAATTTTTTTATTTTATAATGTAATATTATAATAGTAATATTTCTTATTAAATATTTTACTATTTTTATAAGTACCATTATCGTCAAATTGATATTTTTGAAACAGTGTTGTTATTTTAGTATCATTAAGACTGATTATCTTTGAAACAGACTATAGTTTTAATTAATATTTTGAACCAGACTTTATACTTTTATTTTCATTGAATTTTAATTTAAGTTGTAGTAATCTAGCTATGGCCCTTTTTACAACTGGTATTAAGATGCATTTTGGTCGATCCAATATCAAATGGACAACGCTAAATACAGGTGTGAACGGGGTGTAAAACGTTTTGTCCACTTTCGACCACTTCAAGAAGTAGTCAAACGCATTCAATCAGATTGGTCTCGTAGTGTGGGCACTCACATGGTCAAATGCGTTCGAACAGCCACAAAAGACCACCTCCTCTCTGCCTCCTGATTTAATTCTAAAACATTAAAGGACATGCTGTTGAAGCGTGTTAGCCAGACAGGATTTAAACTTTGCTCTCTGAAATCATAAGTTTGGAATGAAGTGGAAAAAATGTCAATGTTGTCTTACCAGTCCTGATTCTAAAACAAACCCACAGCGTTCAACATAGTTTTGTAGCTTTCATAGAAGAAACGTAAGCTGCTGCTCTCCATATCATTTTCCGATGTCTCCTTTTGCATTCTCATGTAAATTGTGCAAGCATATTTCAAAATACTAGAGATTGAAAGATCAGAAACAGCCCATATATACACTTGCCCATAGACCCTCCCCTCAAAATCAGGGCAGAAGTGGTTGAAAGTGGACAAAGAGTTGGATTAAAACACCAGGTGCAAATGGGAATGCGGCTCCCTTGTCATTGCATTTTAAAATCACAATATCAATTTTTATCAATTTAATTTTTTAGCCCTATTAGCGAGTAAAAATGCACGTTTGGATAATGTTACTAGCTAAAACCAACCTGGCATTCATAGAGCTTCTTTCTCCCTTTTTTGGCTCCAGCGCCATTTTGACACGCTGACATGTGGCACTTCAGCGTACTGTTCCTGGCAAAACGTTCATGGCACTCCGGGCACGAAAAGGGTTTCTCACCTACACATACATGAATAAATGAAAAGCTGATTAGAGGTTAAACTTGAATACATTTGTTAAAATTAATTTAACCTCATATCATCTCACCCACACACCTGTGTGCTTCCTTAAATGCTCTTTGAAGTGTCCAAAATGATCAAACTGCTTGTCACAGTACTCGCAAACATGCATTTTCTTTTTCTGCCGCCGGGATTGTTCCTCTGCATCAAAATGGTAATTATTCAGGTGCTGTTTAAGGGCTCCTTCCCGGGCGTATGTTTTGCCGCAGTGTCTGCAGACAAAGTCCCTATCTGGAGTAGCGGTGTGAGTCTTCATGTGCTGTTTGAGGTGGTAGTAGAGTTTGAAGCAGCGGTCACACTTGTCACAACGGAAAAGGTTGTCCAGCTGAGAGATCTGAACCTCCACCACTTCAATATTCTCCAGGGTCTTGGAGGCCATAACAGCCTCTTCCTGCATGACTACTGTCTCATCTTCTTCATTTTTCATCACATGGAGCGTTTGCTCTCCCTGCTGGTACTTGCTGGTGATGTCGGCCAATAAGGCCAACGCAGAGTCATCCGATGAGGGTTCGGTGGAACTCCTGGCAGCATCCACTACTTCCACCAGGCCGCTTTCCTCCACCTCAATATGTTCCTCACCAACCTCCACTTCAATTTCAACAGATTCAGTCTCCACTGAAGGAAGAGTCTCAGTGATCACATTGGAGGTCTCTGCAATCTTCCTCTTCTTAGCCTTGCTCTTTCCAGTCAAGGCCTGGGAGGAGTTTATTGAGGTGGTACCATTCCTTCTAGATGGGAGAAGAAACATAATAGTTAAAAATCAACCTCAGGATAAAATTAGCCAAAAGAAAATGTACAATAATGAGTAACCTGTTGTTTAAGGCTTTGATCGCCTCCTGCATTTGAAGGTACTCTGCAGCTCTCCAGACATCACTGACTTCTTCCTGACCATTCACAGCTAATGTAGCCGTATAAGTGAACTCCATTAGGTGGCGGAAGGCAGTGTTGCTTACACCTATTCATTGCAACAAAAATACTCTAGTGAAGTATATTATTGAGCATATAAAATTAAGCATTTTTTAGATTATTACTATTAGTGCTGGGACTGAGAGAACATAAAATGCAACAGCAGAAATGTGTCAACTTGTAGATTTAACTGCTATCAACTTGGATACAAAACCTGAGGTCCAACTCAAGTGGGTCAGGTTTAAAACTTTGATTAGAGTCAAAGACACGATTTAGGACTGATATCGGTAGCTTCTTGTAATTTTAAACAAATGTACTTTTACAGAATGGACCTGATGAGATGTGAATTCTTTTAAAAGAAGCCAACTTTTCAGTGTTTAACTATATTATTTGCAACAATTCATATCAATAGCTCTATGACCATTGCATTTATCCTCCGTCTTCTCTGTCAATCTGTGATGCTGTGTGTAAATGGCCAAAACCTCCGGACAACTGGTGCAGGCAGCCGCACCAAAACATTCTCCCACATTTTTTGACAGCTTGAATTTTAAAGTATAGGCTACATTATCTGACAACATGGGATTAAACATACTGTAGATAATGTAAACTTTGTGAGGAGGCATAGAAGAATGAATTTCATGAACAAATATGGCAGAAAAATGGGCATACTTTTAAATCTACACTGACCATGATGTTTCTTATTTGTCATCTCTGATTATGGTCGGTGTCATACCCAGTTGAAAAAGTCACCACTCGCCTCTGATGTGCAGGGCTTCAGGCTTTGTAGACATTGCTGCTTTTTTTTCAGGTCTAGCTGGGTCAGACTCGGGTCTAATTTTATCAGGTACACAGTACGCACAGGTAGGATGGGATATGGGTCAGATTCTAGGACCCAAGGAAACCTCTACTGTGGTATATCTATTATCTGCTATTTTAAAAAAATGCCACCAAGCCGAAAAGTCAACTGTGTTGCAAATAGTTGCTTCCAGTTTAGACAGATTTACTGATTAAGACTGGACATTATCCAGGACAAACAGGCTACACTGTAATAATATATAACAGTTTGTGGTTTCATACAGTTGTATGTATTGTTAGGTACCTTCAATCTCCACTAGAGGCTCTTGAGTGAAGTCCTGGAAGAATTTGTGGAAAAACAGACTGCAGGCAGCCAGAACAGCTTTGTGGGCCCTAAACTGATGTCCTGTTAAAGTAACCACAATCATCAACACCACCAAATATGTGCAACTGTTTATTTAACTGTATAATATTTTGCATAATTCAGAAAGATATTAGATTTAGAGGTACAAAGGCCGAAAACCTTACCATCCACGATAAGAGTGATGTCTGTGAACTGATCCAGCTGACGCTGCTCATTCAGTTTGTCAAGCATCACTTTGTAATGGGCTGGAAACTCATGCCCATAGTCAACATCTCCATCAACAGACATGGCTCAGCCCTTTCCCTGCGCATGCAAGTACTGAAACAAACAGACATGACCGAGTCAGAAAATGAAGTGTAATATGTATATTATAACACACAAAAAAAGATGCATGTAACTTATTGGTACCAAAAAGCAGTTACAATTGCTCAGCTCTGTCTCATGTCTACAATATTAAAATATTAAACGTCAATGCATTTTGACAGCCAACCAATTCTTCTACAATCTTTCACTAGCGTGTCATTTAACACAGATAATGTTTTCAGATAAATTAAGCACATACTTTGTATTGGCCCCTATGCCAACAGATCCATAGAGTAGCGGGCATTTCTAAGCAGCATGCCGAATAAGCGCGCATTTCTACAGGGAGCTTCTCTACGCAAGACGGGCTGCTTTACACCCAGCGGCTCAAACTGCTGCAAAAGCCACGTACTTCAACAGCCCAACCGTGTAGAGGTCCTACAGAAATATACAAACGGCAAAAGCAGCAATGTGTGCCAGTCAGCTTCATGTTACTCGCACGCTGGGCCTGTGGATGCTAACGCATTCGCCATTTGTTTTCTGGACCACTGTCGTTACGTCATCAAACCGCGCATTAAAATGCTCTTTTAATCAGACAGGTTCCCTTTCGGCTAAATAATGAGTGACGCCGGGTGTCTAACGCTCCCGAGAACTTACCCCGGGGGACGCTCTGATGTTTAGTGCGGTAGTTTCAACGCGTTGGAGGCCTGAAGCGATCAATGTGCTGTTTTTCCTCCGCTCGTCGGAAAAAGGGCGGTCGCTCTTGCTCTGGCCTCGAGTTCCCATAAGCCCCTGCGGAAGACCATTGCAGGTTTGGTAGTTAAACATTAGGCTTGAGAAAACGTACCTAAAATCAAATAGATTAGACAATTTCTCAAGATGCTATTGATTTAATGTCCTGTTGTTCATTATCCATTGATTTAGATATTCAGTTGATTTTTTATTAAGAATAGACAAATGTATTGTCAAGATTTATGAGATTCAGTTTATCTTAATAAATGATTTCATAACACGTTCTTCAAGTTAACTATTGACTAGCAGTAATCAGTCAAATGTGTGTTAACTGCATCTAAAGTGCATCACTAGGAGGTCAAACTGTCCTACAGAGCACGAGATCTGATAATGAAGATGAGCTAATTGATAAATCATAAAACAGATCAGATGGAATGTCTTTGAATGTTTGAAATGGGTTTTGGATGTTTATGTAAGTCTTCCAAGAAAATGTGTTCTATCATTGTTTTTCCAGTCTTACAGAATTTTAAGAACAGGGTGTTCATCAAAGTTCAGCAAAGAGACAGGAAGCTTCAAAGATTCATCTCAGCAGGAAAAGTGCTGACACTAACCCAGCTGTGCACTGCTGCACAAAATAATAATAATAATCAATTGAGAAGGATCTGGGTACTGAAATGGCCAGCCTGCAGTCCAGATCTTTCACCCATAGAAAACATTTGGCGTATCATAAAGAGGAAGATGCGACAAAGACCTAAGACAGTTGAGCAACTAGAAGCCTGTATTAGACAAGAATGGGACAACATTCCTATTCCTAAACTTAAGCAACTTGTCTCCTCAGTCCCCAGACGTTTGCAGACTGTTATAAAAAGAAGAGGGGATGCCACACAGTGGTAAACATGGCCATGTCCCAACTTGTTCATGTGTTGATGCCATGAAATTTAAAATCAACTTATTTTTCCCTTAAAATTATACATTTTCTCAGTTTAAACATTTGATATGTCATCTATGTTGTATTCTGTATAAAAAATATTGAAATTTGAAACTTCCACATCATTGCATTCTGTTTTTATTCACAATTTGTACAGTGTCCCAACTTTTTTGGAATCGGGTTTGTATTTAAGCATACATTTAATTGTTTAAATCATTAACAAACTGAATTAACTATACATTTTTAAAGGGAAAATATAACTTTATGAAACCTGTTCAAACCTGTTACTGTTCATTTGACTGTTTTATGTCATTCCGAAGTTCACCGACAGATGGCGCGCACTGATTCATCTTTCCTCCACGTTGCTTTCCCTTTGAGAGCCTCTCCAGCATTTTTCTCCCAGACAAGTGTTTCCTTTTTGATCCGGTTAGACACACAGATGTCTCTTGCCATGCGCCTGCAACTTAAGCACAGTCTCCTGGCAGAAAACACAGGTAGAGAGAAAGTGAAGGAGAAATTAACATTTTCAACCACTGCCATGCAAACACCTAATTGGCAAATTAATTGAATTTTTCTGAAAATTAGCAGGACAGCATAAGAGCGTCTCAGTTGCAGACTAAAGGCTGGAATTACGTTTTTATATAATCGGAATAACGATTTTCCGCCGATTTACTGTCTGGAGAAGTTGCCGCTATAGTTGCCGAAAGTCTGAGGCAGTCTGCAGATTTGAGTTGACAGTATCATAGAAAATCGCGTAGTTTATGATGGTCACAGACTCCGTTTTTTTAACTTCAGACTCTGATTCCATCCAGTCGGAGGAGATCAAACATGTTTGATATTTTCAGCCGATTTTAGAACACATATTTTCACATATTGTCACGCATCTCCTAGCATCAAGGCGCACGTTTCTGCATGAGTTTGTTGTGATCGGAACGACTTCAAATTCTGGTAATGTGTCTGGTAATGTATGATCCTCAGTCGTTTAGTGTATGGTGGTCAGCTTTTCCTCTGTCACCATTACAAAGTCGGTACGTGTATGATGACGCCCAGTCTGTTCAGACTTTAAAATTCGTGTAGATTACAGGCTTAAAGCAAGCAGAACAACCAAATGTACGCCTTCTGTTTTCGCTTTAATATTCATCAGTGAGATTTTCATTGACGCTTAGCAACAAAATTCACAGGTCTTCGTAGATACAGGTGCTTGTAATTGTACTCCAATAATTTTAGACAAAATCATTTTTTTACACTGTAGCTCTACCTTTGTTGTAGTGCCACAATCTCAGAAAAAAGGTAATGTTACAAAACTCACCAACGCGGTTAATTTCTGGTTTACCATGGTTTAACTATTTTATTATTATTTATTTTGTTTTATTTGTAGTAAATCCATGGTTAATTTTCGTAATTGTTGGTACTAATATACTTTCAAAGTACTAATATGCACTTTTAAACTACTAATATGCACATTAAGGTGCTAATATAAAAACATTTAGATGTAATAAGGTACAAAGATGTACCTTTTAGCTTTTGTACTGCCCCAGTGACAGCTTTGTACTTTTTTCTGAGATTGTATAGTGAAAATTTGCATTAAATAGATGGCCTCAGTTTCTTTCAGACCTCATGACTTGCAGAACAGTAACCAGACCTATCTATTTCATTATTTTAAAATCAGCAAGGGCGCTGTCGGTTGTGTGGACTAGCAATAATTTGACCGTGAAACATTTGTAGCAAAAGATCAAGAAAGAAGTTCTCTTGATTGTTAAAACAGCCCTCGAGATGCCATATAAACGTCAGCTTTTAAACACATCTCAAACTTCCTGTTCAAAGCATGCAATGCAAAAGGTCAACAAGCCAGTAGAGGCAATAAATGGTCAGGGTGGGTGGCTTTGATAGGCTTAATTGGCCTAAAGATCCAGTGCAGGAGAGCAGAGGCTCATGGCCAATTACTTACAATGTCTTGAGAGGTGGACTGTGAGAGCTGGCTACACAGATTCAATCAGCCTCACGCAGTGTTGCTAAGTACACACCACTCGCCAAATTGCCTGATCTGCTTTCGCTATCAGCTAGGGTCCTGCTGCTTCTGTATCCACTTAGCAGAGACCGGAGAGCTTCTATCTGGTACTTGCTGGACGCCTGCTCTTCCCCTTGTTCGCAGTACATTAAGGCTTCGGTGATGTTGACCTGGCCTTCATAATGCATCAGGCCCTCTCCACAGCATAGCTCTCAATGATGTAGTCAAGTTAGTAATCACGCCAACATCATACTAATGGACCCCTTGTGCTGTAGGTTACAGTTTGTTCCTGTTTTCCATTACAAGCCTGTGTGATAAGAACGAAGACAACTTCTTGATTTGCATGAACTGGATATTACCTTTGTGCAAGTAAGATGATTCATTTATTCATATTATAAGTGTCATGTCCATTAACAGTGTGGCAGACCACAGAAATAGTAAAGAATATGTATCATATTAATATTATACATATATTGTTAAGAGAAACATTATTAATAAAGAAACATCTGGAAGTAGAAATGCTTTTGAAATAGAAACATAAATAAAAAAGCTGAATTCTTAGCAGTCATTACTCCAGTCTTCAGTGCCATATGATCTTTCAGAAATCATTCGAACATGCTGCTTTGGTGTTCAAGGAGCATTTCTTATTATTATCAATGTTGAAAACAGCTGCTTAATATTTTTGTGGAAACCGTGAGACAATGTTTCAGGATTCTTTGATGAACCGAAAGTTTAAAAAACAACATTTTTTGTAATACTATAAATGTCTTTGTCACATTTGATAAGTTTAATGCATTCCTACTGAATACAATTATTTATATTTTAAATAATTTATATTTCTAGATGATCATTTATAAAATACATTAATTTAATTATTTTTATTTTATTTTATAATTTCTAAAATGACATTTTAATAATTTATATTTTCGTAAATTTATTTCCTGGTATTTCCTGCTGTTCTTTACAAAGGTAGAAAGGCACTACACTGTTCCTCTTCTGTATCAATATTGGGGAGTATAAGTTTAGTAGAACTCATTTTTATGGTATATTGCTTTATAAATGTAGACCCTTGGATGCCCATAATGCAAGTCTAACACTTTTTCCTTCTATTGCTTCCTTAAAAATTAATTGTTAACATGCTGGAGGCTTTTTTTAGTTGTTGTTCCAATCAATCTTATGTTCAGGGCTATTTCTGTTTATTTTTTACCAGTCTGTACTCACCTTGAGGGAAATGATGCCTGAAAAGCTGGAGCATATATTTTCTCAGTAATACCCAAGCGCACAGTACACACATTCAGCCAGAACAATACACTAATATTACTTGCACCAAGATTAACTTAACAGTCCATGTCTTTAAATAAAACATGAAACAACCAACAGCATACGGCCACAGATAATCTAATAGTTTGAAGCGATCTTTATTAAATTGAAGAAAACAGAACAAAGCAAATGCAGAAAATTATGATAATTTGAGACATGACAAATTCAACCAATTCCAATAGCAAACCTTACAAATGTTTCAATAACAAACCTGAATCAAGTTCTTTATAATGTCTCAGTAATGCTCAGCGGTGTGCATCCATAAGGCAAATACACTGCTCCAAAAATATCTAGATTAAATGTACTAGCATGTCTATATATCATGTACATTTGTCAACTTTACATGCATTTGTCAACTTGGCATTTAACTGCCAATGCATTTTAAGAATTTTGCAAAAGAAAGAGATTCATAGGAAAATGCTACATGAGAAGGAAAGAGAGAGGAGCAGCACTGCAGGAACGCAACAAACAGCAGAAGCTAAAATGCATACCGTACACAACATATCATGACAGCTTAAGACATTTCCATTAAAACATGAACATGCTGGTTTCACAGCAATGGCAGCAGCAGAAGAGTTGTATAATACTTGATATTTCTCAATAAGGCAATATCTTTATATATAAAAGAATGGCACATTGCTTAGCACAGTGTTAAGATTGACTACATCATGTATAGGCCCACTATTAATCATATATACACATAATAAACACGTGCAGGACTTCACAAGTGAAATCATTACTCCTCATCTGTGTTTTAAACTTACTGATTTAGCTTATGTCCTGTTCTGTGTGTGTGGAGGCATACAGTAGGCCATTAAAAATGTGTCTATTAAATCGGAAATATATATATATATATATTATACATATTGTATATATTATATAAAATACTTTATATTTCTGCATGTCATAATATAAAAGTAAATATTTTAACTTTTTTTAACTCTTAAGTTCAAAATAAGAAAAAGCTAAATACTTTCTTCTGTACCATTTTTTCTCTACACCAATATCTACACTACATATATCTCTAGTATGAGTTTCAGCATCAAGTGAGCCTCCCCTCTGGCTCATTGTTCAACAGTTTTTGGTCCCATTTGTCTTAGGTGTATCGGTGTGTTCGCACAACAACAAAGGCTTAGCATCATAATTATGGCACTTCGTTCTACTGCGGTACAACGAAACACTCAAATTGTACTAAATAAATTATTAAATCAAACAATAGATTTGATTAGCCTGAGTTATGAAAGCACATACACTGCCTTCCAAAAGCAATTTAAAGATGTTTTGTATTTAAAGAACTTAAATAGATTTTTCTCAGTAAACAAAACTGGATATGAGATGATAAAATAACTCCAGAATTTACGTGTGGACTAGCAGGAACCTAAAGAAATGTTAAACTACGTGCAGGTTGAAAGTAACAGCACATTTTAGACCTTTCACATACTAAGGGAAAAAACTGGCCACAAAGGCTGCACTACATGCAGGTTCTGCTCATGGCATCTGTACAGATCTGGCAGAACATCAGCAGCGAAATATCAGCCTAGTTCTGTGATGTCTGTAAATAGCAAATTACATGAAGATCAGTTCATTCAAAACTGAATACTCTGTCATTATTTACTCACACTCATGTTGTTCTGAACCTGTATGCTGTTATTTATTCATTAAATTTTTTCATGGAACACAAAAAGGGAACTTCTGGTAAATTTTCTCATTGCTATTTCCTATACTATATCGGTTCATAGTGACTAGGTTGATCAAGCTCCGAAAATGACAACAAAAGTAATCGTATGCGTCCTGCTACAAGTGTCCGGATCTCAAGACCTGAAGAGACCAAATCAGTAAGTCGGTGAGTTGAACTCAAAGACTGTATAAGTGAACAAATTGTTCTCGTGAGTCTGTTTCAGTAAACAAAATAGGATTTGATTAGATTTACAAATTGGACTAAAGTCATTCCTGAATCATTCAACTCACTGATTTTATGACCCAGTCTAATGGAGCTGAAGATTATCACTGAATAACAGCTTCAATTTTCATTTGTTCATTCACACAAAGCTTTCAACTGACTGAGAATATAGAGCAGCAGTCATATTGATGACTTTTTTTAATGGGTCTTTTTGAAGCTTAAAATCGTGGTTCACTGTCTTTGTAAATGATGAGACTAAAATGTGCACGAAGAATGTTTAAAATAGACAGAATTGTCATTTTTGGTTGAACTATTTCTTTAGCTAATGTTGGCATTTGCAATATTAAGGAATTAAGAGCAATTAATGGAGCAAGAAATGGTTTGTGAGACTGTCTGAATAGCTTTAGTATACTTGTAAAAGGTTGGGGCACAAATACATTTAACTCAAAATCAGAATAAAATCAAACACTTTTGGAAGGCACTGTAACTACAACAGACACCTAAAACAAGTTAGGACCCAGTATTCAAGCATCATAGGCAAACCCGGGACCAATTAAGCTGTAAACCAAAGGCTCCTTCTTCACCATCATATACCTCCACTGTGTTTCTCTAAAAACAGAGAACATTTAAGAATCACAAAGTGCTCAATATAAGCTCATCTACTGTATACACCTTAACAAGCAATACTTTTTCTGTACAAACTTATCAAGAGCATAGAATTACATCTGTGAGAAATTCACCAACTGGGTTTCCAATATGTGGCTTGACAAATCTTAACAGTCTATGGTTGTAAATAAAAATAATTACTTCTATTATAATGCATGATTTCATAAAATAGCTCTAGTTAAAAGCAGCTTTTGTCCCCGTGTAGAGGCCATGGTGCACAAGAATATGCTGTTTCTAGAGGACATCACTGAATTAATTGTCCAGGCAAGAATTGTAGCCTTATTTAATGGCAAGTCTTTGTCTAATTAAACAAGTCCAAAAATTGGCACATCTTTCCCAGCTATTCTGTAGTGTTACTCCCATTGAAAATGCATGTATACATTTATAGTGTCTTCATCAATACAAAACCGCTACATGTACAAAGATAACATATAAGAAAACTTGCCATACAGTCTGCATTGCACAGCAAAGTCTCTACAAGCACTTTGTTTTTGACATGTCCCCTGGATACATTAATACAAATAAAAAGTTCATTTTTCCCTTTTTGAACAAGGTAACACCTTGTTCAGTGGGCTAATATCATTACAAAAACTTGTCTCAACATTTTCTAGTAATGATCTCAAATATTACAGTCATATATAGTGATGCTAAAATACACAGCTGCGCCACAACCCCATTTTAAGTGTTTTAGCATATTGAAAAAGTTCATTTGCTGAGTTTATCCATCTGGCTATGGCAGAAGATAAAATGTGCAGAAATGATGCAGTGCTCAGAAAGGCTCCCATAAATCTGGGGAAGCAGGTTCCCTTAAGATCAAGGCTGTGTGGAGATTTGAGAAAAAATATTGACTCGTCCACAAAACTAAATAATTCAGGAACCTTGATAGGATGCAATGGAATATATTTAATATACCATATATGAGCAAATCTGGGTTGATGTAATCAGAATAAAGTGATTCGTCTTCCACCTGTGTGTAAACAATTTTGTATAAAGATATGTTTGAATTCATTTTGTCAACTCTTCATCCCAGTGCCACAGTAGCTCTAGATCTGCATCTTTGTATTAAGATAAACACATTTTCAAAATGGTTCTCAGACACAGCCATCGAGCATATATCTGTAGTGATTTTTTTTGTTGTTGCATGTAACCAGCTGTTTCTGATTGTAAATTGAAAGCACATTTAAAATCTCTTGGTGAGCTAGCGTAGCACTACTGCAACAGCTGACAGAAAAGAAACGTTTTCAGCTTCTTCTATTTTATCGCGTACAGCAGAGAAAATTCTTGTGTGAAGAATTCCCGTCACGTGTCACGTGATTCATGCAACTTTGGTTTCCAGCAGCGAGAAGGTACAACAAGACCATGAACTTTGTGCTTTTTAGTCACTTCATGGGTTCAGGTTTCCCAGAAGGTCTGGGGTGAGGTACCCTATGGGCATGGTTGGCATTGCAGGGAGATGTTTGTTTGGGCTGTGAGGGCATATCGCAGGCTGTGAGGAAGGAGGATTCAGGAAGAGGCTGTGCTGGGCGTCCACTTCCTGCACTACAGTATAGTCTGATACTGGTGGCAGTATGGGGGCTGGAGGAGCTTCAGGAACCAGGCACGGTGTCTGGGAATCACTGGCGGACACCAGGTACTCACCATTCCAGGGGTTCCACTCAACGGCTTGGTTTGGGAATGCTTGGTACCCCTGCTCAGGACTAGGGCTGGGTGGCACGTCGGCAGAAAGCAGCCTGGCTGTGTTCTCTGAGGTGTAGGCTCCATCGGAAAGCAACTGGAATTGTATCTTCTTCTCATTCTCTTCTTCCTTCTTTTTCTCCGGAGAGCTGTTCAGTTGTCCAGGTGAAAGCACCACTCCTCCTGCTGGTGTGAAATCACTTACTTGGGCATAAAAGTCCATGTTTACCCAGCTTGGCACAGCGGGTTGCATTTGAATGGGCGTCTCCTCCACTTCTGATGTCTGCTGGACGCCAAGATCAGGGATGGACGAGCTGCTTCTGGAAACCAGAGGGTGGTTATCTCCTCGTCCAGAATGGCCAGGCAGAAGGGAAGCCAAGTCCTCGGGATTTGGGATTTCTGGGTCGTAGCAGCTAGCACGACCCGAATCGTTGTCGCTTTTGAAATGAAGGAAGTGAGAAGAGCCTGAGCGGGACAAGCCCAGCAGATGTTGTGTATCAGAACTCTCATTCTTCTCTGCAGGGTCATCAAGGTCCAGCTGGATGAACTCCACCCATGGATCCTCATGGTAGAAGTCCGGCTTGTACATATCCTGACTGCTCAGCAAAGAATTGAGCTGGTCAAGCTTTCCATTCTGTCAGTTAAGGAACATTTATATGGTGTTATTACGACCTAATAAATAAGTCCTATATGCAATAAAATAAAACTATGATAGGAAAAAAAATTCAAGATCAATCATCATGCATCAAAAATATTAAATTTCTATGTGGGCATAGGTATGTTTGTTCTCGATTGCTCATGGGGTTTAATTGTTTAATGCTTACATTATGCTCTAAAAATGGAGTACGAGGGTTGTTTAATTAACAAGTCCCTGAGCTTTCTGGAGGTTTTAATAATTGCGGGAGAACACCCATAACACGTCAACAATTATGACCTTTCTGCATGAAGTTCTGCAGTGATTCATTTTGCAACTCATGCTAGGTTTGCACAGAGGCTCAATCTTTTCAGTCTAATTTTATAATGCAACAATTTAAATAATTATTATGTAACACTCTGCCTAATATACTTATTCATGTAGTCACATCATTGTTTTGCTGACAATTGCTGTAGTAATTTCTGACTAATTCTTAAATCAAAAACGCACTAGGTAATACATTTTCCATGCTATACATTCTGTATTACACATTATTATAATTACTTGCAGTTGCAAAAACAAGACAAATATAATTAGTATTAAAAGATTAACAAAATGATCAGGTACATGTTTAATGCAAAATTACCTTCAGCAGCTCTGGGTCAATGCCTTTAATATTAGGTGCAGGAATAGGTGGTAAAAATATCACCATCAACCTAAGGAAACAAATTAGCAAAATATTGTAAATGAAAACCATTATATGCATTTGTTATTGTGTGTTGCTCCTGGGGTTCTGTAGACAGAGCAATTCCGCTCAACATGAAAACTAATAACAAAAATTTCTTAAATTGTCATTTTATATTTATATTTAAATCTTATATTTTTTATATTTAAATCTAATTTCTAACATTTCTTTCTTTTGATTTTGGATTGAAATATGACCATATCTGTGAGATACACCATATAGGTTTTTAAAAATAGTTATCTCACCTCTGCTGCTGAGAGAAGATGAGGAGGACAAGAAGAATCACCACTCCGATCACTCCGAAAATGAACACCAATGTCGTCGGGAACGTTGATTCTGTGCAAAGAAAATTTTTATTTTCTTACCCTGGAGCAATTTGCTTAACTGATTCATGATGGTTCACCTGCACAGCTGCTTTCACTTTGTGCAAACAACAAGTCAAGTTCTTGGCGTCAACTAACCTTTGCTTGGTATCCGTGCCACATGCACAATGATGCTGTTACTGAATTCACCAAAGTTGTCAAAGGCTGGCATCTTGCAGCGCACCCGGATTTCATACTCTTTGTCAGTATGCAAACCGTAGATTGACTGCTGTGTGCCACTCTCCAGGTCCAGCTACAATAAGGATGAAAAAGTAAATAAGAAAAGAACAAACCAAGGGATTGAGCAATAAACTAGCATTTGTGAGCCATTACATTTACTCAGAGAGAAAAATGGGTATGTGAAAAGATCTGTACGTTTTCTCAGGGCTGTCAGTTTAATGTGTTGAAATGCTAAACAGATTGCAAAATGGATTACAGTGGACTGTAGGCCAATGATATGGAAATAACAGAATGACTTATCTTCATTTGAGGGGCTTTTCTCAGCAATATTATTTATTTGTTTTTCTCCAAGCCTTCCTTTGTATTGTAACATTGCACTTTTGTACTAATCTGGCTTTAGCACCACATTTTGACCCACAAAGAGAATAACTGTCAAGAACCTCACTAAAAATAATCCTTAAAGTTTATAACTAAAACGCTCTTGAGGACACCAAAAAGCGAATGTACTTATATGTGACCTCAGAAGAGGGCCTATGGGAATAACTACCAGTGAATCATTCCCCTCTGATCTGTTCAGGCCTGCCAACATACGGCAGTGATTTAACATGTGGCTCAATGTGGTTTTTCGTGTGTCTGCTCAGTCTGGGCAGGACCGCTGGGCAGGCTGGGGAAACATGGCTGTTGGGGAGTGTAAACCGAAAGAGCTCCTGAAGATCCTGCCAAATGCAAAGATCTCCCAGAACCAAGCCTGAATTACAGAACATATATGACTGCTCTGGACCAGTGGTGACCCTTTTAGAAAGAGTAGATGAATACTAGCTTATAATGTGTCTCCAACACAAACATGTATTTCTCAGAATACAATAAATAGTGTGGGATAGCCAATTTCCTCCACTGCAATGCCTGGGAGTCCATCGAGACAGGAAGATCAAAACAGCCTCAGAATGTTCTGTGATGGTCTGATGAACTCCACAGACTTACTTTTAAAGATGGATTCTCTAGGTTTACATTTGTTTTCTTTTTTGATATACAGTATTTTAAATTGCAGCCATTACGCCAGTCTTCAGAAATCATTCTAATATGCTGATTTGCTGCTCAAGAAACAATGTTTTCAACATAGATAAAATTAAGAAATGTTCCTTGAGCAAAACAGACTTCTTTCAAAAATATTAAAAACTCTTCATGATTCCACATTTTTGAGTGGTAGGTAGTATAAAGTTTTAAAATATATTATATCTTTTTTTTATTTTTTATTATCATATTATTTAAAAAAATTGACTGATTTGTCATCTTCGATACCCTGGATCCTGTTTAAGAATGTAATACGTTTAATTCATTAATCACAATGTTTAAACTATGTGTCTTCTCATACTCCTGTGTAACTTTAATCTCTCCATTTTGCCTTCCCTTTATCTGCACATGTGACACTACAAGGTCTGCATCTTGGCAGGAGGGATGGCTTTTGTTTATTAAATGAAATGTATCCTCCTCCAACCTGTCTTTTTGAAACCTTAAAGTAGTTGGTGTCTTTCAGTGTTTGTCCCTTACTTTTTTGTCTGGTAGAAGACCCTGAGGGCTCCAGGCTCGGTGAGGTTCTGGAAGGTCCCAGCGCTCCACCAACAACGGAAGGTCTCCTGCTCTCTGGAGCGGCAGCCCGTAAAATAAGGTCCTCTGCTTGGATCTAAATCAGGAAGGGAAGAGAAAAATGATCGGGTTATAACATGAATAAACAGTATGAAAAGCAGGTATATATTATTATTTAAATAACAAACAAATACATCAACAGAGCAATTCCGCTCAACATGAAAACTAATAACAAAAATTTCTTAAATTGTCATTTTATATTTATATTTAAATCTTATATTTTTTATATTTAAATCTAATTTCTAACATTTCTTTCTTTTGATTTTGGATTGAAATATGACCATATCTGTGAGATACACCATATAGGTTTTTAAAAATAGTTATCTCACCTCTGCTGCTGAGAGAAGATGAGGAGGACAAGAAGAATCACCACTCCGATCACTCCGAAAATGAACACCAATGTCGTCGGGAACGTTGATTCTGTGCAAAGAAAATTTTTATTTTCTTACCCTGGAGCAATTTGCTTAACTGATTCATGATGGTTCACCTGCACAGCTGCTTTCACTTTGTGCAAACAACAAGTCAAGTTCTTGGCGTCAACTAACCTTTGCTTGGTATCCGTGCCACATGCACAATGATGCTGTTACTGAATTCGCCAAAGTTGTCAAAGGCTGGCATCTTGCAGCGCACCCGGATTTCATACTCTTTGTCAGTATGCAAACCGTAGATTGACTGCTGTGTGCCACTCTCCAGGTCCAGCTACAATAAGGATGAAAAAGTAAATAAGAAAAGAACAAACCAAGGGATTGAGCAATAAACTAGCATTTGTGAGCCATTACATTTACTCAGAGAGAAAAATGGGTATGTGAAAAGATCTGTACGTTTTCTCAGGGCTGTCAGTTTAATGTGTTGAAATGCTAAACAGATTGCAAAATGGATTACAGTGGACTGTAGGCCAATGATATGGAAATAACAGAATGACTTATCTTCATTTGAGGGGCTTTTCTCAGCAATATTATTTATTTGTTTTTCTCCAAGCCTTCCTTTGTATTGTAACATTGCACTTTTGTACTAATCTGGCTTTAGCACCACATTTTGACCCACAAAGAGAATAACTGTCAAGAACCTCACTAAAAATAATCCTTAAAGTTTATAACTAAAACGCTCTTGAGGACACCAAAAAGCGAATGTACTTATATGTGACCTCAGAAGAGGGCCTATGGGAATAACTACCAGTGAATCATTCCCCTCTGATCTGTTCAGGCCTGCCAACATACGGCAGTGATTTAACATGTGGCTCAATGTGGTTTTTCGTGTGTCTGCTCAGTCTGGGCAGGACCGCTGGGCAGGCTGGGGAAACATGGCTGTTGGGGAGTGTAAACCGAAAGAGCTCCTGAAGATCCTGCCAAATGCAAAGATCTCCCAGAACCAAGCCTGAATTACAGAACATATATGACTGCTCTGGACCAGTGGTGACCCTTTTAGAAAGAGTAGATGAATACTAGCTTATAATGTGTCTCCAACACAAACGTGTATTTCTCAGAATACAATAAATAGTGTGGGATAGCCAATTTCCTCCACTGCAATGCCTGGGAGTCCATCGAGACAGGAAGATCAAAACAGCCTCAGAATGTTCTGTGATGGTCTGATGAACTCCACAGACTTACTTTTAAAGATGGATTCTCTAGGTTTACATTATTTTATGCCACAGCACTGCTGAATCTCATTGACTGATAAAAATGTTAAAGGTTAAGGTAACACTTTATTTTACGGTGCCCTTTTTACATGTTATATGTTACTAATAACAATAAATTATGCATAATTACATGCATCTAACCCTAAACCAACCCCTCATCCTAACCCTAACCATATAGTAAGTACATGTAATTAATTAATATTACGCAGTACTTAAATGTATAATTATACTTTAACAAGGATACAGTAAAATAAAGTGTAACCAAGGTTAGTTTTAATATATTAATATGAATATATTATTTAGGCAGCATTTGCACATTCATGCTTGCTTTGACATTGAGACATTGAGAGAATTGCTCTTAACAACAAATATATAAGTAAATAAATAAATAGTCCCAAGTTTGTTGAACACATTTGAGTTATATATCACTTTTCTACATCATCTTTAAAGTAAGAACATGTTTATGGCTTATAATCTAAATGAGTCTCTCCCACACACAATATTGTTACTTTAGTAATTGCCTACAAACAGTTTTAGGGATGAAAATGTGGTAATGTGGTATGGAAGTAGAGTTTATAGACTCATGACAGCTGAATTATTGAAAATTAATGTAACACTTTTTTTTTAATCAAGGTTATGCTAAACCTTTCATAAACCATCCTTCCTTTATTCTTCTCCAGTATGATGTGCTAGCAACATACCATCTCCCAGTGGGAGGCATTCCTGACCCGGTAATGAAGCTGGTACACCAGGCTCATCCAGCCCATCTGCACATCTGCTGATGGAGGGGGAGCCCAGCGCACAAGGATGTCAAAGTGCAGCCCTGAGCGACTCCCATTCAGTAGAGTCCAGTTCAGCCCAATTGGTGGGTCAGGATGCACTGGAAAGTCACAAAACATTTTAAGTCAGGCCTCCAACATTGATCTTTCTGTAACCGTTTCCTATCCTTCATGGAGCAGTTCCATAGCTATTAACTCACCTATGTTCTCCACTGTAAAGCAGGCCTCATCATAGGTTATGTTCTGAGGAACTGAGCGCAGCTGGATGCAGTACGAGGTCCAGATGTATGTGTAGGACTTGTTGAAGTAACACTCGTTTTCCGCAGTACGCGTGTAGTCTGGACACTCCTGCCACTCAGAAAGGGCACTAGATGCCAGTCAATAAAGAAAACAATATGAAACAAAACACCTCGGTACATTGCACTACATGGATTTATTAGTAAATATTTGGGTAGTTGACTTGAAATACTTATAAATGAAGATGAAAACATTAAATCATACAATCCGGCGAAACATGCTATACTCTATCTAAAACTATTTTAAACAGCATTTGATCATTATTTTATAATTATTATGCATGCCATTTTCATGACCTCAATTAAAAAGTAATCAAAAGTCAATTATAGTCAATAGTTGTACTTTTAGCAATTCATTTTTTTTTACACCACGAGATAATTATTATAAATTAATATAATATTTTAACTTAAAATGTTCATGGTCCACTAAATGACACACAATTTAATAAAAAATTATGAACATTTATCAATATGGGCTGCATTTATTTAGTCAAAAATACAGTAAAAACAATACTATTGTGAAGAACTTGACAATTTTAAAGAACTGTTTTCTTTTTTGATATACAGTATTTTAAATTGCAGCCATTACGCCAGTCTTCAGAAATCATTCTAATATGCTGATTTGCTGCTCAAGAAACAATGTTTTCAACATAGATAAAATTAAGAAATGTTCCTTGAGCAAAACAGACTTCTTTCAAAAATATTAAAAACTCTTCATGATTCCACATTTTTGAGTGGTAGGTAGTATAAAGTTTTAAAATATATTATATCTTTTTTTATTTTTTATTATCATATTATTTAAAAAAAATTGACTGATTTGTCATCTTCGATACCCTGGATCCTGTTTAAGAATGTAATACGTTTAATTCATTAATCACAATGTTTAAACTATGTGTCTTCTCATGCTCCTGTGTAACTTTAATCTCTCCATTTTGCCTTCCCTTTATCTGCACATGTGACACTACAAGGTCTGCATCTTGGCAGGAGGGATGGCTTTTGTTTATTAAATGAAATGTATCCTCCTCCAACCTGTCTTTTTGAAACCTTAAAGTAGTTGGTGTCTTTCAGTGTTTGTCCCTTACTTTTTTGTCTGGTAGAAGACCCTGAGGGCTCCAGGCTCTGTGAGGTTCTGGAAGGTCCCAGCGCTCCACCAACAACGGAAGGTCTCCTGCTCTCTGGAGCGGCAGCCCGTAAAATAAGGTCCTCTGCTTGGATCTGAATCAGGAAGGGAAGAGAAAAATGATCGGGTTATAACATGAATAAACAGTATGAAAAGCAGGTATATATTATTATTTAAATAACAAACAAATACATAAATTATTCTTTTTATATACTGTATGTATGTTATCTTTTGGCACATTGTCAGCTCTGTCCTCTGCAGTTGAGCTCCTCTGGTGCCAAGTTTACCAGCAGTCCTCTCCGTCCTCTGCTTTTGCGCAGCCATAAATAAGCCTTGGAGGGTGCAATTGATTTTCTCATCCTCTATTTCTTCGCTCCTTTCCTAAATGCAGTATAAATCAGCAGAGCTTGCACGTGGCAAGAAATCCGCTAAAGGTATCAAGATTTTCTATGACAGTGTTTCTAGTTGATCCCTTTCTAAATTGTAACAGTAAGAGTAAATCTAGGTTAAATTAATAGCGGCTTTGGGGATGGAGAGGGCTGTTAAAAAAATCTAATTTACTTTGAAAAAACGTTTCTGCTGAGGATGCCCCACACTCCCGTTTTTCCCCATTCTCCTTCATCCAGCCCGCATCTAGTGACAACAAGATGTATTTCCTCTGTCCCACAGCTGCTGAGCTACAAAACTGCACCCACAGTGATGCTGGTCAGGACTGATCGTGTGGGGAAGGGATTTCCAGTGGCTCAAGTGTGTGAGTTCAAAGCTATTTTAAAATCACTTTAAAATGTTAAATATCAGTACACAATTCTTCTAAAACAACTTGACAGACTGTCAAGTTCCAAAAGGGACAAAAACCACAGTATACGTATAATGCACAATATATTGGTACGATTATGGTTATCGATAAAGAAATTCAGAATTATTGCATATTTAATTGTGCATACAAATTTGTCCTATTTTAACATTTAGATTACATTTGCCATCATCTAATGCTCACTTAAAGTTAATCTTGAAAAACACTAATAATTCAATAACATCGTTAAATCGAATCTTTAGCGAATATCAGAATGAATATCTATTTTTATACTTATAATAATGTATATCATTACAAGTATATACCTAAATTCACCAGTAGCATTTACAATGACTGATTTTAGTTTTTAGTGTTTTATTTTTCATTTATACAGATTCAATTTATTTTAATTGTACAGAATTTTTATATTAGCCAATTAAAGAAAAATGATTTATTATAACATATTTCAGCCATTCTAAGTCCTCATTTATTTCAAATCTCATTTGTGACCCTGGAGCACAAAACCAGTCTTAAGTCGCTGGGGTATATTTGTAGCAATAGCCAAAAATACATTGTATGGGTCAAAATCATTAGGATATTAAGTAAAGATCATGTTCCATAAAGATATTTTGTAAATTTCCTACTGTAAATATATAATTTTTGATTAGTAATATGAATTGCTAAGAACTTCATTTGGATAACTTTAAAGGCGATTTTCTCAATATTTAGATTTTTTTGCACCCAGATTCCATATTTTCAAATAGTTGTATCTCGGCCAAATATTGTCCTATCCTAACAAACCATACATCAATGGAAAGCTTTTTTCAGATGATGTATAAATCTCAATTTCGAAAAATTGACCCTTATGACTGGTTTTGTGGTCTAGGGTCACATTTACTAAAAATGCAGCAGCTCTCAAATCTCAAAATGGCACATAAAACTGTTGTTGTATGGAAAAGAACTGCATGAAATGTTTCCATAAAGTTCTTTTTGTGTACCACGGATTTAAAAAAAAAACAGCATATGAAAGTGACACAAAGCTGCGTAAACAATCACTAATAAACACTAAAGCGTTATTCTGGATCTTCTCAGTGTCTAATGCTCTCTCTCCCCCTTTCTGACTCCTAAAACTTGTTATTGCTACTCCCTCCCCCTCAAAATTCTGGCATGTGCAATAAAAGAGCTTGCTATGGAAGCGATTAGGTCCGAGATGAACAAATGATTTGTGGGCCACTGCGGAAAGGATTGGGACAGAACAGATAGGGACATTATCACCACTAAATTATTCCTGGTCAATATTTGGTTTGGTGCTGGAAAGGGGGCAAAAAAACAAAGAAATTCAGAATTATTGCATATTTAATTGTGCATACAAATTTGTCCTATTTTAACATTTAGATTACATTTGCCATCATCTAATGCTCACTTAAAGTTAATCTTGAAAAACACTAATAATTCAATAACATCGTTAAATCGAATCTTTAGCGAATATCAGAATGAATATCTATTTTTATACTTATAATAATGTATATCATTACAAGTATATACCAAAATTCACCAGTAGCATTTACAATGACTGATTTTAGTTTTTAGTACTTCATTTTTCATTTATACAGATTCAATTTATTTTAATTGTACAGAATTTTTATATTAGCCAATTAAAGAAAAATGATTTATTATAACATATTTCAGCCATTCTAAGTCCTCATTTATTTCAAATCTCATTTGTGACCCTGGAGCACAAAACCAGTCTTAAGTCGCTGGGGTATATTTGTAGCAATAGCCAAAAATACATTGTATGGGTCAAAATCATTAGGATATTAAGTAAAGATCATGTTCCATAAAGATATTTTGTAAATTTCCTACTGTAAATATATAATTTTTGATTAGTAATATGAATTGCTAAGAACTTCATTTGGATAACTTTAAAGGCGATTTTCTCAATATTTAGATTTTTTTGCACCCAGATTCCATATTTTCAAATAGTTGTATCTCGGCCAAATATTGTCCTATCCTAACAAACCATACATCAATGGAAAGCTTTTTTCAGATGATGTATAAATCTCAATTTCGAAAAATTGACCCTTATGACTGGTTTTGTGGTCTAGGGTCACATTTACTAAAAATGCAGCAGCTCTCAAATCTCAAAATGGCACATAAAACTGTTGTTGTATGGAAAAGAACTGCATGAAATGTTTCCATAAAGTTATTTTTGTGTACCACGGATTAAAAAAAAAACAGCATATGAAAGTGACACAAAGCTGCGTAAACAATCACTAATAAACACTAAAGCGTTATTCTGGATCTTCTCAGTGTCTAATGCTCTCTCTCCCCCTTTCTGACTCCTAAAACTTGTTATTGCTACTCCCTCCCCCTCAAAATTCTGGCATGTGCAATAAAAGAGCTTGCTATGGAAGCGATTAGGTCCGAGATGAACAAATGATTTGTGGGCCACTGCGGAAAGGATTGGGACAGAACAGATAGGGACATTATCACCACTAAATTATTCCTGGTCAATATTTGGTTTGGTGCTGGAAAGGGGGCAAAAAAACAACAAAAGCACAACAGTCTTCGAGCACACACAATTTGCTCTCAAAAAATGTTGCAAAAGCAGCTGTAAAAAGGCCAAATTTAAACTTTGGGACCAGTTTCAAGTGTGTTAGATGTCAGTTTAGGAAACTTTGTATACCAAGAACAAATGTGGTACATGTGGAAAAATGACCAATGTGCTTTGGCTACACTTTGGATGAGAACTACAACGTATAAAACCAGCTGCTCTCGTGCAAAAACAGAATATTTCAATTTAAAAACATATTATTTTTTCTTCCTTTGTTACAAAAAAATCTTCCATTATATTCGCAATAAGCAGAGAATGCAATAGTGGGGATATTTCACCACTTTTTTTTGTTTTTTTGTTAATAATGTGAGTTATGCAGTTTTTGCACATGATGTTGGAACTATGAGTTGAAACTTTGGAGCCAAAGTACATGTTTTTCAGATGATGTATAAATCTCAATTTCGAAAAATTGACCCTTATGACTGGTTTTGTGGTCTAGGGTCACATTTACTAAAAATGCAGCAGCTCTCAAATCTCAAAATGGCACATAAAACTGTTGTTGTATGGAAAAGAACTGCATGAAATGTTTCCATAAAGTTATTTTTGTGTACCACGGATTAAAAAAAAAACAGCATATGAAAGTGACACAAAGCTGCGTAAACAATCACTAATAAACACTAAAGCGTTATTCTGGATCTTCTCAGTGTCTAATGCTCTCTCTCCCCCTTTCTGACTCCTAAAACTTGTTATTGCTACTCCCTCCCCCTCAAAATTCCGGCATGTGCAATAAAAGAGCTTGCTATGGAAGCGATTAGGTCCGAGATGAACAAATGATTTGTGGGCCACTGCGGAAAGGATTGGAACAGAACAGATAGGGACATTATCACCACTAAATTGTTCCTGGTCAATATTTGGTTTGGTGCTGGAAAGGGGGCAAAAAAACAACAACAACAGCACAACAGTCTTCGAGCACTCACAATTTGCTCTCAAAAAATGTTGCAAAAGCAGCTGTAAAAAGGCCAAATTTAAACTTTGGGACCAGTTTCAAGTGTGTTAGATGTCAGTTTAGGAAACTTTGTATACCAAGAACAAATGTGGTACATGTGGAAAAATGACCAATGCGCTTTGGCTACACTTTGGATGAGAACTACAACGTATAAAACCAGCTGCTCTCGTGCAAAAACAGAATATTTCAATTTAAAAACATATTATTTTTTCTTCCTTTGTTACAAAAAATCTTCCATTATATTCGCAATAAGCAGAGAATGCAAATTTTTTGTGGGATATTTCACCACTTTTTTTTTGTTTTTTTGTTAATAATGGGAGTTATGCAGTTTTTGCACATGATGTTGGAACTATGAGTTGAAACTTTGGAGCCAAAGTACATGCGCAAAAAAGAGCTCATCTATCATTGAGATGTTTGGCAGTGTTGTGGAATACTAATCTGAGTATGTGGTTGTGCAGGTGTGAATATTTTTGGACCAACGATTCCTACTCAAGAGACGTTACAAATCATTAATGAAATTCAGTATGGATTTTATACACTTGTTCCAGCATGAAATGCACAGTTTTTTTCAATGTTTATTCCAGTTAGAACTTTAACACTGATTTTGCAAGATTTGAAGCCAAAATGCTTCATGTGATTCTGTTCATTTTTTTCTCCACTCCATTTCAAATACTTATAAATAATAAATTAACATGCAGTTGCTTATGCACACACCTCCTCTTTGGAAACTTAAATAAAGCTA